TCGGCGCGCGTGGCGACCGCGGCCGCGGCCGCGTGACGCTCGTCACGCACCGCGGTCGTCAGCTCGGTGCGGATGGCCTCGGCCTGTGCCAGAAAAGATGCCTCCAGCCGCTCCAGCCGCTCCTGGTGCGAGCTCGCCTGCGCAGGACGCGGCGCGGCGGCTTAGGCGGCGGGGCACTCGAGGTGACCCATGACCCCTCGGACGCGTCAAGGAATCTCCCTCCCTCCCCGTCTCTTCGGCGCGCCAGCAGCTCGAGCCGGGAGCGCAGCCCGGCGGCAGCGCGTGACTCCACCGCCGTCAACGCCTCCACCGCCGCCTCCAGCTGCTGCTGCGCAGCGCCACTCTCCTCCGCCGCTCGCAAGAGCTTCTCGGTCGCTGCCGCCACCCCGAGCGACACTGTGGCCAGCGCGTCTTGCTCGGCGCCGCCGCAGGCCGCCGCGGCTGCGACCGGCGTCTCGGGCGCGAGCCAGGTCGCCGAGGTCCCTCGCCCTCTGCCGCCAACCGGTCGATCGCCGGGATGTTGGGCGGGTCGGCGGTGCGCGCGCGGCTCGGGAAGAGGCCAGCCCAGCGATCCACGCTCAGTAGGTATTCCGGCAGGCGGCGGCATGAGCGGTGCTGCGGCCGGTGGCGTGTTGCTGTCGGACGGTAACGATGCGAGCGCCTCCGCCGCGAATCGGCCTCTGGACGCCATGAGGTGTCTGCCGGCGCGATAGAGTTTTCCAACCGCCAGCGATTTCGGCCCCGTAGGCGCGGTAGAGCGATTCAGGACTACCGCTACCGTTCACACCTCGCTGCGCCTTTACCGCTACCGCCAGAGGCCGCCCGCTGTTTACCGCTACCGCTAGACCCCACTCACTCAGTCACTTATAGCTGCAGCCGGCCTAGTCGACTTCACGTTTGCGAGGAAAAAATAGAATATTCCTGGGCCGAAAAAAGAAAAAGAATAAAAAAGCAGAGTGCATGACGGATAACTGGTGTATGAAGCCTCGAAGGCCCTTTAAAAGAGAAAACAATCAACCCGGAGAGTAAAAGAAAGCGATCTGCGGTCCGAGATCGAGTCTGAGACTTAGCCGCGGCGGCTGCGCTGCGCTTGCAACTCAGCCTGATAGCCCGAAATCGTGCGCTTGCGACCCGTGCTCGACGTGTCGGCTGCACGTGCCGCCTCTGCGCCGCGCCGCACAGCGCGCTCCTCCTCAACCCGTCGCAGCTGCTCCGCCTCACGTGCGAGCTGCGCCTCGGCGGTCTGATCAGTGGCTTCCTGCTGCAGTCCCCGCAGCCGGAGGAGCGTCTCGTCAGCCAGGCGCAATATTGGGAGAGGCTTGCTCTCGTGCCCGTCGTTCTCGCCCGTCTCTTCGAGTTCGATTGCACACAGGATTGAGTCGCAGCGACGGCATGCCAAGCGAGTAGCCGTCGCTCCTCTTGAGCCGCCTTGCCCGAACGCAGTGCACACCCTTCGC